ATTGTCCAAGAGCTTCTGTAACTTCGTCGAACTTGGAACCAATTTTAACCTTTACAGTGACTTTTCTGTCAAGCCAGTCCAATCGGAATTTATTCTTGACATTTGAGTCAATTTCTAGGATTAAAGACTCCTGATCTTTCGTCAAAATTTTCATAATTCCGCTCAAAACGATCCCAGAACAATGAATTTGCGAGACGAACAGGCCGCCATGAATCAGGTAAAGCAATATGTTACATGCAATTTGATTGGTCCAATCGCTTGTAGTTAACCAATCGCTGGGCCGTTTATAATCGAGCTAAGACTTCCGCAACAAATAATGCCTTCAGTGATCTGATTAGTTGAAGCTTTCATACACGTCCAATCGCAGGGCTGTTTACAAACGGAAAACGGAGAGACTGTTCGGGAGAGCTCGTGAAAACTCGACGATAAGGTACCTGACGGCCCCTAAAATTTTCTCAACGGATTTAGACGATTCACAAAAATGATCAATTTAAGAAATAAAACGGCGGATTTCCGCGAATCCGCGGAAAATTGCCATGTATGCAGAATGCGTTGGATGGCTACTTTGTTGTTTGGCTGACCCGGGATGTATTGTACAGTACTTCCTCTTCCTTTCCTCCCTTTAGACCTTGCACACACGCTTGCACGCATGCACCGGCACACATCAATACAACCATCACATGACTATGATTCTTGCTAGTTATTTTATTTATTTGAGTGTCACAAATGAGAACATTATCATCAAAACTTCAAATGAGAGGATTGGTGCAAAGGAAAACGAGCCAATCAGTGAGGCTGCCATCAGGGTTTCGAGGCTGAGGGCAAAAAGTAGAACAAAAGACACAGAAAAAAAAAAATCAATATTATTTCTTTTGTCATTCTATTGATTAATGCCAATAATTAATTTAATGTCAATAATTTATTTATAATTGCTGTGTATGATTGAGAAACATGATTGATGCTAATAATTTGTGCTAATATGCCAGTGTTTGCTGCTATTAATTGATAGAGTATCAATACCAGGTATTGGTATGGGGTCGATAACAGATGCCTTTTGATGTACATGTAACAGGGTACTCATAAGGCATTTGATACCAGCCAGCAATACTTAAGGTGCCGGAGCCCTCTTGTGGCCGTTTCACCATCAGGAAGTAAATGGCATGCATGTCTGACATTTTTCTGTGTGAACTGCATGCTTGTCCACCTCCATTTCATAACAAACGTGTCCTAAAATCAGAGAGGGTTGTTTATGTTTTTTTTTTTTGGTCAGGAATAAATAAAAGGTCTTTAAAATTATGTTTTTGGTATAATTGAAATTTTATGAATCAAAAGTACAAGTATTAGTGGTATCAGTTACTTGGTATCAGTGAGTACTCAAAAGGTGCCTACCAAAGCTGGTATCAGTCTGAAACATCCCTATAATTGATTGTCATGATACATACTACTGATTAGTGCTATTAATTGGTGACAATTGTCAATGACATGCCAATGACTGGTGATAATGACTGACGCAATTTTTTATTTTTTTTAGATAATCATTAGTGCTCATAATTGATGCAAATGATGAATGCTAATGATGGCTGAGCGTCACACCTGCAATGCGTCGGTGTTCAGTGGTTGTCCGTCTCTTTGTACATCTCGCAGGCGGACGGCTCCGTCATTGGGGTACCCCTCCTGCACCTCCAGGTGGCACAAGATGGATGCTGACTTGAGGTACACCAGCACACGCTGAGCAGGACACCAATCGATGGCGAAGCTGAAAAAGGAAGCGGGAGCGCCCGCGTCAGGTCACGGAGGATGGCGAGGGGTTGCTTGCGGAGCCCACCTGGATCTCAGACTCTGGATCTCAGCCAGAAGGTCGGCCTGACCCACATAGTTCTCCATCACCTCCACCAGAGCGGCACTGAGTTCACCACGGCGGCCCGACACGTCTTCCTGAAGCTGCTTCGCCAGGCTCGCCTGATCACATGACAGCAAGTCAAGTTCACACATCAATTATTATTCCTTTATTACTATAGAGATGCTCTTTGTTCCAGCTGCAGCTGTTGTCAAACCACTATATAAATAAAGTGTTGAAATGTATACAACAGACAATGTAATTCAGGAAAAAGTCCACTAAAATAAGTGAATGATACCAAAAGCAATGACTGCATTCTGAATCATTCATCACTCCCAACTCCCTATGACACAAATAACGAAAATCTGTGCATAATTGACACTTCCCTGATCAAAAAGCTTATAATTGCCAATAGATACCACCAGATGGCGGAAAAGCACTACTTTTGTCTAAATGAAGCCCCAAAACTAACTTCAACATAGCCCCTTGGCATCAAAATGGCACCAAACGAAATTCAAGAGTTTTTCATACTGGATCAATCTGAAGTGTGAAATGGTCGTCTTGGCTCCAGATGATGGACAGCTTTAACGGCTCCAGCTCATTGAATGCCAGATTTGTGTTGGCGGGAGGGTGCGGCCTCAGCTCCAGAGACACCTGCGATTGGTTGAAGGACAGCAGGCTGACGTGCGCCACCTCCTGCACGGCCGCCACGTACGACTGCAAGCTGCAAACAAGAGAATGCCATGTCATTTGATGTGTCAAGTCACCCGTCCGATCATGTGACCCAATGACACTTACGCCTCTCTGGAATGCTGCCAGACGTCCACTTGCCCGAGCTCCGCTTCAAGCTCCGCCTTCAGCCGAGTCAGCTGACCATCACGTGTCTGCAACGCTTTCTGTGCCTCCTTCACGCTCGCCTGTAAGTCTTCACGCTGCTGCTTCTGAAACACACAAACACATAACACATGTATGTGTGTGCGAGTATAAGGGCTAGGTGATACAGCCTTTTTTTTTGGGGGGGGGGGGGGGGGGGGGGAACAGCCAAGAATCGTGTATGTAAGTAACCATTGTGGATATCTAGCGTATCAACTAACAGTGACTGGAGATGACAAACTATTGTTTGGTTGCAGTCTTTTGCTTTAAAGGTAAAATGACGGTTGTGACCTCACCGAACTCATTTTAGGAACCAGTGTTGAGCACAAACATGATACTTGGAGAAACGTGTGCCATAGTGAGGATATAATTCAACATCCGATAGATAGATAGATAGATAGATATATAGATAGATAGATAGATAGATAGAATATTGTCAGAAGATCCACTTTGCATTAAAACAGCAGCACCGTCATGCGCATGTGACTCACTGAACAGCACAAACACAATACACAAATATTACCATTAAGGTGTCATCCGTGTGCAGCACTCTCATTAAGGCGTCATTGATTTTGTGATTTGTTGGTCGAGTATAAGGGCTAGGGGTCACCGTTTTTTTTTGGGGGGGGGGGGGAGCAGGGGTGGTTCACAAAATACCACTTCCAATTTGAATAGATTATTTTTTTATGCTAGTGCCACACCGAACGATTATTTTAATCATTGATTGTTCTATCACTTAGTCATTGTGTCATTGTGTGTGCACCTTGGCTTGCAGCTGTTGCAATAGTTGTTTGACTTTGTGTCGTTTGTCAATGATGTCTTTTTGCAGCGTGTCGACCAGCTCATCCGTATGCTCCGCCGTCGTCCTGCTCTCCACCTTCAAAGCCTTCCAGTGGCCTCGAGCTTCGCCTTCTGTAGTTAGGAAACAGAGTAGTGCCTGACGTGACACTATACATGTCACCCAAAAGAAAATAATAGTGCGCCTTTCAATTCAGAATGCGGAGGGAGTGTGATGAGAGCATTTCTATAGTGTTCCCCGTACATTTTTAACTTTGGTATCTACTTTTTGTCAGTTGTTTTGCTAAATAGTGTGTCTTAAATTTTTCTCCAATGTGAAATATGTGCCTTGGCTAAATAAAGGTTGGGAACCATGGGTCGAAATTGACTGTAGGTGGGGCTACCTGATTGTGGGGGACAGGGCTGTGTCAGCAGTTGCTGGGCAGATTGAACGCGCTCCAGCTCGCACATCATGGAGTCCAGAACAAACAGTTGACGCCAACCAACTTTTTGCACACGCCGCCTGTCCTACACGCACACACACGCACGCACACACAATGAATGAGGATGTGGATGTTTCAGTGACCAAAACCTTCAGAAGAAGAAGATGAATACCTGGAGAAAGAGTAGTTTCTCCCCTGCAGGGTCCAGCTCCTCCCCGCCATCACACAGCGCCGGAAGGGTTGGGTCACAGCGCTTCAATACACTGACAAACATGCACACATTCATGATTAAATGTACACACAAGCCAAGACAAATGCACCCAGCATCACGTGAAATCAAGAGATATCCATCCATCCACGAGCGATAGCGTTTGTCCTCCTCATTAAGGTCGCACATGGGCTGAAGACTCACCTGAGTTTGGGTTAGAAACGACGTACACTCAGGACAGGTTGCCAGACAGACAATGGCTGGGCACATATAGACAAACAATGGCCTGGTCTAGGGTCGCAGTTGGTGTTGTGGTGCACTTGCCTGACTTGTGTCCAGGTGCTGTGGGATCGGTTCCCACTCAGTGACGGTGTGGATGTGGGTGTGAATGGTTGTTTGTCTGTATATGTGCCCTGCGACTGTCTGGTGACCAGTCCACGGTGTAGTCTGTCTTCTGCCCAAAGTCAGCTGGGATGGGCTCCAGCAACTCCCCGCGTCCCTGTTCAGGTTAAGTGGTGTTGAAAATGGATGGATGGCCTGGTCTCCAGTCAGTATCAAGGTGCATATACCTGTACTATCGATAGTCAATGTAGTCCTCTCTAGTCAGTCAGAGGGCTTGAGATATTCGACTATGGTTTTATTAAAGACGTTGTGCGTCACTTGCTTTGATGTATTTAACATTTTATTTTGGGGTCCAGAAAATAATTCATCAAATTTATATTGCGCTTTTCTGGACACTCAGAGGCTTCAAAATGTATACCTTCATCATGCGCTCACACCTTCACGCTCTCTCTAGTGTTGGTAAACTGCGGTCTGTCGCCACAAATATTAACTCGAACAAAACCAAATGATAAAGGTTGCCCATGTAGCTGTGCCGCAGATAGAAGTGGCATAAGGCTGTGGTCTTATGACATTCTGATGTTGTATTTCTTTCATTTTTATTACTTAACGATTCCGTAATGCGAACATTTTTTTCGAAGAACATCTACGTTGAGTTAATTTATGTAGAACACATTAAAAAAAGACTGCTCAGTGAATCGCATCGAGAAAGAGACAATTAAACGTCAAACTTACTTTGTAACGGATAATGCTGTTGGCGTCTTGTGCGGCATTTTTATTTTCAAATCCCCCGCGCTATGACGTGGTCGCTTGTTGATGACATCACGAACTGTCTTCATCTGACATTGGTTTTAGCTGCTTTAGCGTCACCTGGTGTTCCGGTAAAATTAACAAAAAGGAGCACAAATATAAAATAAAATAAAGTACAATCAACCATGTGTCCACAAAACGACTCAAAACCATATTAAAACCAGAGTCTAAATGGAAACGCTGAAGTAACAGGCGTTTGGAGAAACTTTATTTGACGAATACTTTGAACTTTTACGGCCTTGCACAAACCATGCACTAACTCACAGTAACCATAAAACTAGTGTTATTTTTGGGAAACATCATTGTGAGGTTCCATATACTTCACTGTATATTTTTTCTTCATCCATTCGGCTCTCCGAATCACTTACTTGGTCACGGGTAAACAGTAGCGTTTTCATTTATAGACTGTATACTATAAATTAATCAATCTATGAATGTATTTTAAAAATATATTTTCACCATGTTTTTGTTAGCGTGGACACATTAAATATTTCTGCGGTTGCAAAAACAGTTTATTTCAATAGACACATTAAAAACAATCTTTCACGTCATTGAAAGTAACATCAACCTTGTTTATAAATTCTGACTCGGAAAAACCTTTCCAAAACTACTACCCGCTACCTCAAAAAAAGTCGCATAGTGTGGTCTTTCTACTGTAGGTCTAAAAACTAGCTGGTGCTAAGCTCACTACTCATTTACTGCATGTTTATTGTAGAGTACAGTTGCATAAAAAACCCAAAAGATAATACATACATGCATTTCTGAAATGACCCGATAAGAAGTGTTAGATCTTCTTAATATCACTAACCCAGCATATGCAAGAGAAATACAAATAAATGCCCTCAAAATGTCATGCCACTGTACGGAGTTGATAAATGTACACATCATTGGTAATTAAGTATAAAAAATATGTCAATGAAAGGCCTTTTGTGCATCAGAGCAGCAAAGTGTCATCATTTTCTGATCTTAACATGTAGCTGGTTGGCTGGCTGCCATCTGAGCATGTGCAGAAATCGAAAGACCACGATGAAGACCATGATGAAGACAATGACCACCACGATGATGTTTTAGCATGGTCAGGACATCGGAGACAAGTCAGGGGGCGGCTCGGATTTGAAGATGTCCATCATCAGTGCTACCAAACATATCAAACGGAAAATTCCATATAAATATCGCATTTTTACGGATATCAAATTTAATGTCCATTTACCTGTAGTGTAGTATGTGTAATACTATCATAATAATGAATGACCATGCAGTAAATGTAAGTTTGTAAGCAGCAGGTGGGGTACACTCTGAACTGGTTGCCAGTCAATCGCATGGGACACATTCACAACCATTCACACTCACAATCACACCTAGGGACTATTTAGAGTGTTCAATTAACCTACGTGGAATGTTTTTGGAATGTGGGAGGAAATCGGAGTAAAACTACACAGGCATGGGGAGAACATGCAAACGCCCGGAAATTGAACCCATTAACTCTGCATTGTGAGGTGGACGTGCTAACCAGTAGCCCACCCTGCCGCCATGTCTCTACATATATGTAGGTAATATTTCATATGTGCACATACATGTTTGTGTAACATTTACATTTTATGTATGCTAGCGTACCCTGTGACCGTGGTGAGGATAAGTAGTATGGAAAATGGATGAATGGATGCATGAATTATACCATATTTCAATCCTATTTTAAACATTTTAGTTGCGAAAACCTACATGTGGTGTCACAGAGTCCTCTCATGCCCCCGAAGATGGGATCTCTGTCAGTAAGAAGATGACTCCGCCCCTTGGTGCCTGGCTCCTCTTCTGATTGACTCTCCGTCAGGCAGCCCTGTGTTAAAAAACAAACAAACAAACAAACAAACAAACAAACAAAAACATTTACATACGATAACAGTCACATTCTCCATCACGATTGGCTGCTGGCTAGCCACATGATTACCATCTCGCTTACCAGTAGCACATGGCTGAGCAGGAGCTGGTTCTCCTGGGACGCAGCGTCACTGTCGTGCTTGTGACGCTTGTCATCTGCTGCAATCAGCTGGGACAAAATGTCCTCATCTGAGTTGTGAGTCCTGAATGACATGAGCGTGGTAACCACCATTGCAACTTTATATCAGAGCAATAATGTATTAAAAAGTAATTCGATGTAACAATTTATTTTCTACAATACAAATATTTGTAATCTGACCGTTTCCTGTTGATGGCGGTGAGTTCAGGTGGTGCCTCTGTGTTAACGTCAGTGTTGGCTTCTGGGACGGCGCTGAAGAAACTGAGCTGGAAGTCATCGTCCATTGAGATGTATGGAGCCAACATGTCCAGATCCACGCCATCCATCACCTGACAATATACATTCACAGGACACTTTATTTGAGCCACTATGCAATAGCCAATACTAAAATGTGGCTTTTAAAAAAGCACCTGTACAAATGGTGGAATGAGGGCTTTATTTGCATTTTAAATAATACTTAACAATGTTGGTGGTATATAATTAATAAATAATGTTAAGTTAAAAACAAAATAATGTTATCTATATTGTAAAAATATCAAAATACTACATAAAAAGTATTACAATTAATGGAATGCTATTTATCATAAGCATTTGCTAAAAATGAAAAATTGTGAAAATACCAATAAAGGACCAGTATTTTTTTGGTTTCTTAAAAATTTCCCAGAACTGTATATATTTATTTATTGTTTAGGTTTTGATAGATGTAATTTATAATAATTTTTATGAAACCATTTTTAATTTATAATTCATGTAATTTATTTATTGTACTTTTTTTTTTAAGTACCAATATTGAGGAATTATTAAAAACCTTCAGAGACAGCATATGGGTTTATGTTTAATAAAGTTTCTTAGATTTTATGTTATTTGTAGTATTTTTTTATATCCATTTAAGCATATTTTTAGAAAATGTATTCAACAACTAAAATATAAACATTTTAAATTGATACTTTGTGTTTACAATAGTCTATTTCATTTTATTTAAAATATTTAAAAAGTGTTCCTGAGCAAGATACTGAACCCCCAGTTGCTCCTGATGCTGCGTCATCAGTAGCTCAACAAGGAAACAGTGTAAAACGCTTTGAGTACCCAAGGTAGAAAAGCGCTATATAAGTGGTACAGTATTTTTTGTCAAATCAAAATACGCATTTTAAAAATATTTGAAAATAACCTAAACCATTGTCCACTTTAAGTATGATACAATACAATTTCACAAGCACAATCAACTATCGCGCTCACCTTCTGCATGTTATCCTGCATTTTGTCGCCATCCTCTGGCCAAAAGGCAAACAACTTCTCGACCTCGCTGGTGTCCCGCACGCTGCCGCTGTTGCTCTGGACAAAAATACCACATCAGCAACGGTCGTTTCCCTCGTTCAGCAGGCGAGCTTTGGATTTACATGTGCTGGCTCTGGATCCGGCGAGGATGATGACGAGGACGAAGAGTCAGGGTTGAAGATGGGAAGGAGGAGCTGGCGCAGCTGCGGAGTGCAAAGGTCCTGAGGGTCCTCGGGGATGTTGCTCAGGCTGCGCGGCGTGGCGAAGGAAAGCGTGATGAAGTCTACGACATACGCAACAAGCGCAAAGATTATTACATTTTATTGCGTACGATAGTAATTTGACTTGCAAATCGATTTCCCCTTTGAAATTACGTGAAATGTCATTGATCTGCTCCAGAACAAAAATCGCCATGTTTGTTACATTTTGAAAAAAATACCAATGCACGGTAAAATGAGACACTGAGAACTCAAGTGGGCGACCTGCATTTTGGTCATTTTCAAGTTAAGTGCAGAAATGAAGAGAGAATAGAAGGGCATAACTTTCAGATGGAAAAAAAAATCAAGGTTTGGTTCTTATTTAAAAAAAAAGTACTTTGGAGGTTAAAAACAATGTATTGTTTTGACAGCAGGTAGATTTCTAACTTACTGCCTGACAAAAAACATAACTGTGTTTTCTTGTTTACTTGTGCTCTTAAGAGTTTCTACACAGATTTACGGGTATGGAAAAAAAAAAAAACAACGACTAATTTCATGTTTAAAAAAAACAAACAAAACAGTCAGTAGCACCCAACCTCCTGTCAGCGGAGCAACGGCATCCTTGTCTTCTGCAGTGGGCGGAAGAAGTATCTCCGGCGGGCTGCTGCTATTGCCGGAACTCTCGCCTGCATCAGTGTTCTCGTCGAGGTGCTCGGCTTTGAGGCGATGGCCGGCACGGATCTGCTCAGAGGAGAAAAATACGTCCGACTGCTCCACAGCGCTGCAAAGAAAGAAATGTAACTTATTTATCTGTTATTCAATGTTATTTGCAGATAATAGGGACAAACGCTGCCAAGAATAGGGACAAAAAAAACCCCGAAGTGATGACACCCCTCTAAAATGTTTAGAATTCCTACATTCATAGTTAAAAACGTAAACATGCCGCAAACTACAATCTGAAAACACTTGAATATCATTACAAATTCACTTCACATCGAACACAATTGAGGTCAGCATGGCGCGGTCCTCGACATCCGATACAGTTGGGTAATTTGGAAAATTAATTGCCCACTTCTGGTCTATAGCGTACCTGAGCACAAAGTTGAGGCAGACCACGGCCTCGGCATGTGACGTTTTGTTGTTGTAGAGGACGGTGGCTTGTGTCTCGGTCCACACGAAGCCGCCGCCACTTGCCAGGAAGCGGTAGGGACTGGTGCTCACTTGCCCTTTGGCTAGCACTGCACGGAAAAGAAAAAATAAAGTAAAAGTGAAATAAACACAAGATTTTTTTTCCTCTCCCCTGGGATGAGATCAGGAGAACGTACATGTGTGCAGGCTCTTGTTGACATGAACCGAGTCCATTGCGTGATAAAACTCGAACACTGAGCGGCCGATAAGATCGTCCGCCTCGTATCCCACCAGGTCGCCCAACCTAGAAAACAAATGAACAGATAATGAAAATTTACCACCTCTTTTGTGCTCCGAACAGGAAAATACTCTTAAAAATTAACATTTGAACCACCTTAGAGGGAAAATTTGTATAAAACAAAAAAAAATTAGCTGGAGGTGGCCGCCACGCAATTTCGAACGCAGGAGAAACCCTGCCTGAGATGCAACATGACAGACCCAAATCCAAGATAAAAGGCGGGCAAGTCGGCACCTTCACACTTTTGGTTATTTTGTTTCCTCTCTCAATCAAATCTATCGGCCATTTAATTTTGTATGATGAGTTTCACATTTAAGTGTTTGGGGATCGTAGTTGGTGGAATATTTATGGTTTAAACCATTTAAATTGGACATGGATGCCCCACTCACCCTTGATGCAAGAGGACTTTACGAAAAGTCAAAACAAAACTCACGTCAAAAAATGACAAGAAACTCCCACTTTCAATGTGTGCTTGATGGAGTTTCTTTTGTTTTTCTATCTTAATGTCTGAGATAGGCGCTCTGGTGCTGACCTGCCCTCGCAGTGTGTGAACCGCATGTCCATGCTGTGGCGGGTGAGGAAGGTGTGCGTGTCCAAGGGGAAGTCCACGCTGGACGGGTGGGGGACGGGCTCACACAGCAGCGTCATCACAGTGTCCGCAGGGAGCGCTGCGGAAGAGTCGCCCAGCGCCCGCATGTGGCCCGTGCAGTGGAACACCTGACAGAGAAAGACAATTGAAGGCTTTAAAAAGGCTATTTTTTCACTGTTGAAGTTGACAAGTGCCTTTCCACAAAACATTTAGTAAAGCCTAATCTGTTAAAACACACCATTTACAAAGAGAATGCATGAGGACGTGCGGGCAAGTACCTTCCAGCTGGCAGACTTGATGTTAACTGTGCGCCCCCTGCTGGTTAAAGTGCTCTTCATTCGCAGGAAGAAGTTCATCTGGCGCAGCTGACCCCCGCTCAGTTTTTTACTGCATACTAAAAACAAAGACAAATAATGCCTGTTTCAAGCTGACCTCATCCGATATACCACTTCATCAACATGATCATCATCATTGTGTTGATATGAATAATTCTCTATATAAATGGGTGTAACTAACCAGGGTGCATAAGGAGGTCCCTGAGCTCCTCCTGGTCGCAAGGATGGACGAAGTCGTACACGCTCTGACCCAGGAGCTCCAGCTGGAAAACACACCCAAACAAAATAACAAATATTGATAGACATATACAAAACCACAGAGAAGGGGCAGTAGGAGAAACAAAAGATTAGCAGAGTGGCAAGAGGAAGAGAGTGGAGGAAAATGAGGAGGAGTGGGAAAAGAAGGTTGGAGGAACAAAAGAGGAAAAAGGGAGAAGAATGACAAGGAAGGATGGGAGAGGGATATTTCTGTACGTCATGTCATATTTCACAATGTTGGATTTTTTTTTTTCTTTGTGTGTATTTTTATGGTACTTTTTTATGGTCATATTTTTCCATTTTTCAAACTGTATTTTTCTGTCGTAGTTTTCATTTGTTTTGTTGAATATTTTTTGCATTATCTGTCAAATATTTTTGTATTCATTTTTGTTCTTACTTTGTATTTTGATATTTTTGGTACGATTTTGAACATTCTTACTTTGGGTCTGGTTGAACTGTGCAATATGTTTCACTGTCAGATGCTGCTAAACAAGCCCAACAGCTCATAGGGACAAAGAACATCATGTCATAAAGCTCCTCCACCTCCTACCCTTACGGCATGAAAGCATTCCTGGAGACCATTTGTAGTTTCTTTGATGAATATATGGGTCCCAACCACCCCCCTTTCTATAATCCCTTCCACCCCCACTCTTCACAACTTGAAACCTGCGCAGAAGTACAAGTACTAAAAACACAAGGTATTGTGGACTTTACACAGATCTATCCCGCCGGTTAGGATCGGCAGATATTTTGCGTTTTTATGCAAACTCGATGATCGGTTGAAATGTCATCATTTGACGTCAGTGATCGATCTGCAATGATACATGAACTCTGGTTATTCGTGGACAGGCCAGGCCCAATCCCCGCATCGGGGATTGACTGTAAAGTAAATAAACAAATTATCTAAATAGATTGACTGGATCAAAGATTGGAAGCTGATCAGCTCCAAAATACTGGTCTACCCCCTCCCCGCCAACACACACGCTGCTCTTTGACCTTAAGAATCAGAGGCAGTCAAAACCAGATCAAAGCAGTCTTAGTCAACTTAACACTGCATTCCGCATGATGTACTCGAAAGCTGTAATTCTAACGGCTTCCACACGTGACCAACTGTTGACTTAAGTGTTAACCTTTGAGGTAAACATGCAGCAATATTTGTAATATTAGTTTTATTCATTATTATTAATGCATTACATTCTTTGTTTTTAGTTTTTTTTTTTTAACTTATTCATATTCCACTTCCTATTTTAGTATTTTTGGGGGCTTATCCTAATATTTGCGCATTTTTTAAGCATATGTTTTTTGTAATATATGGAGCATTATTACCTGCGGGATGCCAATGTGCTTGCTGACATTGTCGGTCAGGTAAATGATGTCTCCTTCTGCCGTAATCACCACGATGAAGCCAGATAGCGCTTGAGTGTACAGGACATCCGCCGGGTCCTCATCGTCGTCGTCATCCACCTCCTCAGATGCCTTTGGACTCTCTGTCCCTGAGACCCACAAATTGAATTAAGGTCCAAACAGCCATTTTGGTTGTAAGTGGACATTTTGGAGTGAATCTTCCTACCAGAATGGAGAAGGCGGTGCATACGAAGGACGCTGAGGGTAACCCTCATGATGGCCGCCTTGTCCAGATGTGTGGAGACGCGTCTGGGCAGTGGTAGGGTTCGAGCCAGGTCATAAAATAGTTCTGTCTCCTTACCTCGCCTGCAGCGAGCCGCGTCGCGAGAACGTAACTTCCTCTGCTCAGAGCAGCTCCTGAACCAGGAAGAAAGACAACACCAAATGCTAGGCATGTCATGATATCCAAACGTCACAATTTGCTAAACTCATGACATGAAACTCATGATATGGTAATTGTCGCGATATTGTGGGGAGGTCTGTGGTATAAAAAGCTTCCAGTGGCGAACAAAAACTCATGATAGTTGAAAAAAAAGCTTGTGATATTGATTATTAAAAAAAAAAAAAAAAAAATCAAAATTTTTTGTGTTTTTGTACACGATAACATCAGTGACAAAGAAATGGAACGCGGAAGTAATTTTGTTGCCATGTGTTCGTATTGGCTCAGCGGCGCAGAGTAGTCTCTGCACGGCACTGAGCATGTCTTTTTGTGCATATTCTTACGCCACTGCGCAATGTGACTTATGGCACACCGTTTGTAACCTTCAAACATTGTATGTCGGTACTGTCGTAAACTGGGAAACCGCTGTAATTTTTTTACTACCTGTCTGCGACCTACTCGTCATGGGTCCGCGACCCACTTCTGGGTCTCGACCGACCTGTTGAGAATCAGTGCACTAGCTGATGCAGCTCTCCAAATAAAAACACATCCACCTGATACAGCCCTTCAAAATAAACCGGCTCCCCTGCATACCACCGATGCAGCCTTTTTCCTTTTAAAAGCCTTAGTGCAGGAATGTAAAAAATGTCCCCTGGGCTTGCAGTGAGACCACTTTATGAACACGACTCCAACCCTTATTCCTGACCTTGTACACTAAAAACGATCCTTCTGCTGCACAAACGCTTTGGATTGCCAAAATAAAAGAGAAAAGTCCGAAAGAGAAGCAAACGTTTCTAAAATGGCTTCTCAGCTGTTGACAACCTATTAGATACTCACCATTTGACCCATGCCTCCCTTTCTCGTCCTTCCCCCGCCTCTTCCCCCGCAACCAGAGAACATTGCAGACAGGACAACAGCATACTTTAATTTCAGTTTATTGTGCACGCATTGCGCAATAAACTGATAGTGTGTGCATGTGCATCACTACAGTATTCCTTTGCTGTCATGCAGGAACACTTAGTCGTTGTGAAACTTGGCTCGCATGTTTGTGTTCATGTATGTGTGTGTGAGAGAGAGAGCGAGAGAGAGAGAGAGAGAGAGAGAGAGAGAGAGAGAGAGAGAGAGAGAGAGAGAGAGAGAGAGAGAGAGAGAGAGAGAGAGAGATGCAATAAGTGAGAAGAGGCGCTGCTCTTGTTCATATTAGTGTGTCTTGCAAAAGGGAGACGGGAAGTGCTCACAGACACACACGCACATATGCACACAACTCATTTCAAGGAGAGGACATGAGGCAGAGATTTAACTTTTGCCCTGCTTTGATTGGGACATGCTGTTCATCAAAACAGGAAGTGCGCACGCTTGTCTGTGTGTGTGTGTGTGTGTGTGTGTGTGTGTGTGTGTGTGTGTGTGTGTGTGTGTGTGTGTGTGTGTGTGTGTGTGTGTGTGTGTTGTTTTGCTGTGGATAAGAAAGTTTCAACAGACAGACTCTGGTCCTAAACCGGGCATCTTTTATACAGACCGAGACATATTCTGTGCAACTTTTGGAGATTTACAGATGTCAACATTAAAACCTGCAGACTTAAGAAAGCATTATTTTCAATTTGCACAACTGGGGAGATTCATAGTCATCTTATTTTATCTCTTATTTTATGGGCAAGTGTTGTGAGACAAAGTGGTCCTGACGTGACTGATACGTAAAGTAGTCAGTCCCTCCACAATTTTTAAGGATTTACAGTACATGGAGTCTTCTTTTAACTTGTACATCTTTTGAGGGGTTAAGTTAGTCCTTGCTCAAATTGTAGCGATTTTGAGTGCAGTGACGCCTTTACTTAAGAGTTTAACTCGTTCCGTGATGATACTTGTAACTCACAACTCTCATAAATCATGTCAGCTTCTCCCCTCTAAGTGAAGTGAAATACCTTTAATCTATTCCAGCCCTTGTGCTTCTTCTGTTGTGTGTGCCTTGGCCACTGACAGTTACTATAATACATTCATACACAAATGCAAACGAGTTTCACAACTCGATGACTGAGTGAACTACAGTCATTTTAGCTGTTTTTTTTGTAAACGCTAAAGATATATGCTTGTGAGTATTAATACACTGTCTGTCTACATGTGTTTCTGCACCGTTTGTGTTCTATATCCATGCTTGAAGCATAATATCACCGCCACATAAATGCTTTTTCTTAACCCTCTATGGCAGCTTGCATAGTGTGCTACCATTCAGCAAAGGCACGTGCAAAGTGTTGTGGTTGTGCCAAATACACAACGTGGCATTTGCTTTGATTAATGTTTTGTTTGACGGTCAACTTCAGATTTGAAACTCTTTATTTTGATCTGTGCAACTATTATTGTGGTCTAATTTTCACCTCCATATTTGTTATAGACATATTTGAACATGTGCAACTTCATCAGTCATTACGGTGGCCTTGTTTTACCCTTCACAACGTTTTTTAGGGGGATGGGCGAGGGGGTTTACAGTTAAGTACATTCAAAATACTGTACTCCAAAATTCCACACTCGTCAAAATTGCGAAATAAAGAGATAGCTTACATAACCTTCTCATGAAACATTTGGACGGATTCAAAATATTCCAACTGCTCAGCTCATTGAGGCACTGTTCCCACCATTTTCACAACAACATTCCCATATGAAGTGCTATCTTGAATACTAACCTACTGCTACCACATTTCTTGACGATCTCAAGGCTGCCGGAACTGCATTGTCTAAGCATCATCATTATTAGTAGTATTATTATCATCATCATCATCATTACTGTTATTCTTATTATGTTTTGGGTGTAACAGGCGGACTCCGTATGTCATTTTGTTCTGCTTGTGCATATAACGAGTCATCAAAGGCGCCCAAGAAGGGCAAAGAGGGCAAGTTTCTGCAATAAACTAAAACCACACATGGCAGGTACCACCACAAATGACCACAATACGCATATATTGGCTTTTAGTGATCGATTATTGGTCAGAAACTAATAAACCACCAGCTATGAATTTGGTGAGAAGTCACCGTCGGGCTGCCTTCACTCGACTTGTGCTTCCCAAAAGTTTCCACTCACGACAGGAAAATACGAAGGCACCATTTGACGATAAACAAATCTTACCCTTTGACGGTCACATTAGCTTCGTCTCCGTCGTCCATGTTATCGTTCACTGGTGTCGCGATGTGTCCGGTGTCTTTTGGCTTGTTTTTGTCAGGCATGTTCATTAAAAAACACGCCACTAGTGTGTCAAGTGTCCGAGAAAAATAGTGTTTCCGGTTGTACCTTTTCAGGCTCAAAGTCAACAGGAGCTCGTGTTACAGGGATTCCGGGCACACAAGAGCACGAGGATTCTAATCTGATCGTACAACACGAGCAATGCACACTTGAGAGCGGGGTTAGGCAATGTATGGCCCACTCCATTCATTAATCTGACCCACTAATCGTTTTTTATCGACATTAATTCGTCATCAAGTACATTACTGTTCACATTTGCCCAACTCTGCTTTAGAGTAATGTGCGTTCTACTGACAGCTACTTACCAAACCAGTTTCTGTATTCATTTTAATGTAACTTTTTCACTTAGACGGAGTTACAAGGATCAACTAAACATGACTTACTCTATTTAAGACAACAGTTACAGTTCGAACGCACTTTGATTTAAAATATGGTTTATTCTGTTAAGAAAACAAGCAGCTTCCACTTTCTGTGGTTTATTTCTTCCACTTTCTGCGGCTTTCAGGGTCACCCCACCCCCTCGACTGTTGAGCTATCCATACATCCATTTTTTTAAGATGTTTATCCTCACATGGGTCGGGGGCATGTTGGAGCATATCCCAGCTGTCTTCGGGCAGTCGGCGGGGGACACCCTGAATTGGTCGTCCGCCAATCGCAGGGCACACAGACATATAACCATTCGCGGTCACAATCACACCTAGGACAATATAGAGTGTAAACCTGCCATGCATGTTTTTTGGAATGTGGGAGGAAACCAGAGTACCCGGAGAAAACCCAGGCAGGCACGGGGAGAACATACAAACTCCACACAGGAAGATTCTTAGTTTTTCCTTTTCACTTACTTTTTTTCAAAAGATTAGCCTAAATTTGAGATGGAAAAACAACAAATTTTTCAAGATTGAGACTTTTGCCTTACATTTCTTTGGAAATGTAAACTTTATTAGATTGTTTTTTTTTAAGTTAAAAGAATCTCAATAAAAATCTAAGGGGAAATGCTTAAAAAAATCGACTCTTAAAGAAAAAAAGCAATTGTTAAGAATAAAGTGTTTTTTGTTGATAAAATACAATACATTCGTTTTTATTTAATGTACTAATTTAAAATTATTTTGGGGAAAATGTAATTACTTGAATGGTTGAATTATTTCGGGTTTGAGGCCTTCTCTCAAGCAGTGATCGCAAAACATACCATTTGCTTGTGACAGCTGTTAGGGCAAGGGTCCCTATGTAACAAAACTACGTTTTATTGTCTGTATTTCCTCACATAATGGTGTTCACAAAAGGATTTTATCTATTCAACTACACAGGGCCAGGCAACTCTTAGGACTAATGTGTTTATTTGTAAGGTCGACCTTATAGCTACGAGGTATTTTAAGCAAACAGCTTGTTGACACACTTAAGTTGTCGTGTGGTAGCGTGTAATCAAGTGACTTTTAAAAAAATATAATCAACCTCATCATCACGTGTGTGCTGTGTTCACATTATCATGGTTATCATCCAAAAGGAAATCAAGCAAAGCAATCAGAACAACTTCATGATTTGGAATGAGAGAGAAAAAGACATCAATGAGATCATCTTGGAGAGAGACACAAACATACTTTGCTTGTTTTTTTATTATCGCTGCAAAGCATAAAATAATCACAGGAGACTTTGAAACAAATGTAGCTTTTATGTGTTGACAAATGTATTGAGTGGAGAGACGGTGACTTTTTTTTTTTTTTGTCTGTGCAAATTATTGCAAGAGGCAATTCAGGTGCAACACTACCAAGGAGTATCAGGGCCACACTGGAAAGGAAAAACCATCAAATACAGCAAAAATAAAGGTGTAAAATTGGATGAAAAGCAAATGAACTGTGTGTACAAAATAAAGTCACGTAAAAATTGGCACGTTTGTCTTTTGCCCACAAAAAAAAAAAAAATACGTCCTCAAGATTGTAGCATTCTTCCTCCCCCAAAAAGTATCTTTTCTTCCTGGAAAAAGTTGCAATATTTGTGGAAAAAAAAAGATATTCTCAACAATTGCGCATCCACACCACTACCCCCTGCTCAAAATTCAATGCAACTTTCCCCTAACTGTAATATGACTATTTTCCCCTTAAAGAATGCTCTTTTTAAACCCTTCTTTTAAATTATATAAAAAAGCAAGTGTTCTTGAATTTTTTTTTGAAGAATTTCTTTTTTCAAATGTACTTTTACAACCTTTTTCCGAAGACTTGCATCGTTTTTCGATGAACAAGAGTGATTTTTAAAAAGGATTGCAACTTTTTGCCAAAAACAAAAAAAATATCTAACTTTCATTATTTTCATTTTAAGGTTGAACATTTTCTATAATCCCCCCCCCCTCCCCCCATCTTCATCCTCATAGTATGGTTCCCGCACCACCCCAGCAGGTTTGTAATACTCCTTTGTGCAACATGAATGAGTACGACATACATATGACTCTGCAGCTACCCCATCAGCAACAGTGTGTTTTGTGCGTGTGGTCACGTGACTTGGACCCGAGCTTGACACGCCGTTTTCAGAGCCCCTTGAGGCATCTCAAGAGCAACCGGCATTAACTCAAAAAGAGATGGTGACATCAAGACAGAACTCCTGAAAAGACATTCAGTGCGTTGCCACGTACAATGTGTTCACTTGCTTCCTGTAGCGCCTCCTTGCCGTTAAAGAGTACTTTGACTATTTACAGTATAAATTACTAGACAGTTTAATGATGAAATAAATTACTTAAATACAGCTGGCCGTGGCGTCTGCAGCATGAGCAGAGGGTAATACTGCATTGGTGAAGTGGTCGGGTGTTGTCGGTTGCCTTCCATTTCGGGATGGTAGGAGGAGTGATGAAGGTGCAGCTATACCACCGTGCCGCTTGGAGAGTTTCCGTTCTGTGCTGTTAAGTTCTGTAAGAAAAGACACAAGCCCCCCCCAGCAATTTAGATGGCGAGAGGTAAGAGTTAGTATAGTGTTCATCAAACTGCTGCCACGCTCTATCCATGAAATGACAAAAAAAAAAAAAAAAACAAAACCCCCAACTGTTTAAAAATTTAATCCGCTGAGTGTACGCGATTCAAATTTTGTCGCAATCCAAAAAAATCTCATGGCATACCTCTTCAAAAGGCCAGGAAATGCCAGTATGGTCCAACAATGGTTACTTCAATCGATAATGGTAGTAGCCAACGTCATGCTCTTCTTCAGAATGAAAATGAATTGAGACTGCAGCAGGAGTAGTGCACTCCCTTTTGTGTCAACTCTCACATACACAGAATTAAAAAATATATATATTTTGGGTTAAATTTATGATGAATGTGGCAAAAACATTTGTCAGGATTTATGATCTGTCCAGTAAAAAAAAAATATGTGGCTTGGCACCCACTAAATTTTTTTCACAGAATAAAAAAAATACATCTTGGGTTAAATTTATGATTAATGTGGCGAAAACATTTGACAGTAGTTATGATCTGTACAGTAAAAAAAAAACACTGTCTGCACCCAGCGACAGCAGACAAAAAGCTGCTGTTGTATGTGCATCTGGAAGTTCCACCTACTTACACGCAATTCAGAGGCCACGTAAAAACAAACAAAAACAATTCGAAAATAGCCACGGACAAGTATTGTGCCGTACAGACAAAATAATTTCAAAAACGAAGTACTGCTGGTTATTTATTATCCGAGGCTGAAAAATATTTTATAGTTAAAAGTGACCAGATTCTTTTCATTCCGTTCATCAATGAAGTACTTTTGACTCATATCAAGAATCTAATTGTCTTGGTCGCATAACAAACATTTTAGCCGCAAACTAGCAAATAAAGTTAAAAAAAAAAAGAAAAAAAGACATATTTGGACAGTTTCTTTCCAGCAAGGATACAACACAAGAGTGTGACCAAGAAGAAAAAATGAGGCGCATTTCACAGACAATGCCAGGAGACCTCCTTGAAATATGGATTTAACGCAACAGTTGATTCCCACTCACCAAGCCTGTTCTGCACACTATGCAGTAAGCATCTTTCCAATGACTCTAATAAAGCTTAAAAACAGATTTTTTTTCGCATTCCTGCATTACAAAACAAGTCTTTGGAGTATTTCCAAAGAAAATTGTGGGGAACTTTTAGGAAAGCAACAATGATTGAGGACTTCCACATACATCAACAAATCTAAGTGGCTTGAGAGCGTCATAATTGGTGGCTGAAATGATATTCATAATCGGTGAAGAATTGATCCTTCCTGCAACTCGGAGGGCATTGTTGCTATCCTTGATATGGGGTCGGCATTGCTAAAACAGGAATATAAAAATACACAGTGGACTTGTGTTTATTTTTGTAGCATTGTATTATTCGACAGATGTAAGGTGTTTACTGCTCGACACTCTGTCGCAAGGCAAGAGAGGAAGGAATCATTTTTCATTTGAAGTTCACTTCCTTATATTCCACAAAGCACACATCACAAAAAGAGTAACATTGAGAGAATTTAGTTACAGCAGCAAATGGAGAGAATTGTGCGTTTGCTTTACTTTATGCTTTGAATAAAGGACAGTTTTGCAGTTATGTTTCTGAATGTGGAGGTCTGCTGCTGCTCAGTCAAGGGGGCAGAAATTCTGGTAGAATACAGCGCAGCTGACCAACCAAAAATACTAGACTTTTGGTTTCATCGCAAAATAATGTAATGAGAGACCTGCATATTTTGTTTTCTCTGGATGTGGCCCTTTGAAGAGAAAATTTGGACACCCCTGTTATCTATGTTATGTAATGTGCTTTTATAACAATATACCGTCAAAATATCGACAGGTTTTGATGCCCGTCAGACTTTGACTGTTCGACAGGCATCAAAATAAAGACCTTGTAACTTCGGTAACGAGCTTTCAGATTGAGATGGAAGACGTGGATAAGTTCCTGCCTGTCATGGTCCCGTGACTGTGCCGTTACATACCGCCTTGCCAGGCCTGGCCCAGGTGCAGATGAGCCCCTCCTGGCATGCCGTGATGATACAGTCATCCATGAAGACTAGCACGGTGAGTCTCTCATGGGCGATCTTTTTGCACACGAGTGGCTCCAACAGTGGCACCTCATGCATGCGCGGGCAAAGCGTGGTGCCCAGCACTTTGGCGGCGTCCAGGCGCCCGCTACCTCGCGGTGCCACATTGATCTTATCGTTACTCTTGCTGATATTACCCAGGCTGTGGTAGCGTTTGTGTTCTTTCTCCACCCCGCCACCCACCACCGACTTGTCCGACTTGCGCTCCTGGAGGGAAAGCGTGGCAAAGCGGCCGATGCTGAACGGCGCGGTGTTACCCGGGGCACTTCCAACGGTACCGGTCCCACTTCCTGTTCCCCCAGTGCCGCCCTCCGTGGCGCCCTGGCTCTTGGAGGTGTTTGCGACCGCTGGGTGGGGAAGTGAGTTGGAGCGGGAGAGGGAGCGAGGCAGTGGGAGAGGCAGCGTGGGCGGGTTGGAAGTGCCCACAACAGGTGGGTGGTGGTGGCCCTCCACTCCACCACCCACAGAGTTGGGTAGCGTGGGTCCGAAAGTATTTGTAAAGGCTCGCGAAAGCGGCAGACGAGGGTATAGAACATCATCTGTAAGGTCCCACAGACAAAACTGGGTGTCCTGCCCGACGGATCCGAATCGGTAGGTGACAGCCGCTGAGCCGCCGCCTTTGGAGCTGTGCCGGGAGAGCCGTGACAGAGTGCTGCTGGTGCGCACCCGTCCAAAGTGTGGGGTAGTATTGTTGGGCGCCCCTCCCTGGTGGAGGTCCTCCTCACTCCCACTGAGTTCCATGGGCTCCTCGTCCTCCAGGGATGTGGTGAAGGGGTCAAACGCCACCACGTTGACCCAGGATTTGTGTCCATGCCCGCGGGCCACCACCCGGCTCTCGGCGAAGGACCACACGGTGACCAGGTCGTCCTCTCCCCCCGTGGCCAGGTACTTGCCATCTGGGCTCCATGAGACACACAATAGTCCTCCAAAGTAACTCCTCATCACACCCTGGAGCTCCATGGAGTCAAAGTGGAAGACCCGCAGGCAGCCGTCCTGGCCCACACATGCCACGTGGACCCCATCAGGGGAGAAGGAGAACTCGTTCAGGCCACCCTCGCCCACGGCCCAGCGCAGAAGAGGGTTTCGGGGTGTCTTGGTTTTGCAGGCGTACACGGCGAAGCCCTCCCCTTGACGCAGAAGCGAGTATTGAGGTGCAGCCGTGCCGCATGGATGCTCCACGTTGTAGAGATACAGGTGGCCGCTCGAGTGAGAGGCCAGGAACAGGTTCTCAGACTTGGGGAGCCATTTCAGACACGTTACCTTGGATTTGTCAATCAGACGCTGCACATGAATAATAGGAGACAAAACGTTTTATTAGTGGCCTGAACAATTACTTCAATTGAAAATGACATCTCAATACATGATAGGAGACAAAACGGTTTATTAGTGGCCTTGAACAATTACTTCAATTGAAAATGACATCTCAATAATTTTGCCTCGAAATCCTACTTCAAATTGCTTAAATCTTGTTGGAAACCTTGGCTTGAATCCCTAACCTTTCCTTGAAATGCTAAACCTGATTTGAAACTCTTTGTAGAAACCCCAAACCTGGCATGAAAGCCTCATTTGAAGTAACATTTAGTACCTCCTCATTGAAGAGCTTGCTGGTCTCCTTCTTGATGGGATCCAGGTACTGCACCTGCCCGGCCGAGAAGCCCACGATGAGTGCCACACTGTCGGCCGACGCCGAGTACTGGTTGAAGTCGTGACACGTGGGCTGCGTGCCCTTGTAAATCCTTTTGTCAATTGGCTTGCTCAGGTCCACTGCCTGGTGTGCACGCACACAAATAGTTTGAGAAAACAGTATGACACCAAATAATCATAAAAGCACATGATGACATAAATATAGTATAGCATTGTATCTTGAAAACATAACAAGGGGTTGTAACCCTAACTCTGGTCTTGAACACCAGCGTTGAGACCCTCATCCTTGTTTGAAACTTCAACTCGAGGTCTTCACACAGTCTTGAACCATAATTATTTAAAAACCCTGCTTTGTCACAGCAAACCAGGCTTAAAACCCTTTACCCACGTCTGAAACCATGAACGAGGGTTGGATAGAAAAAAAACGAACCCCCAAACCAAGTCTTGAAACCATCCTGAAACCATTAATGAGGTTTGGATAGAAAAAAACGAACCCCCAAACCAAGTCTTGAAACCATCTCTTGTTTGAAACCCAAGAAGTCCTTACTCTAACATTTGTGTCGTTTTAGACTACTGCCTCACTTAACCCAGCAAAGATGACTCATAAAAATAAAGATTAGTTGAGTTGAAGCGCATTCTTTTGACATCTTGCAGCTCCCACCTTGACCATCTCTGTCCATCTTCTGCTACATGACTCATCCTCAGACGAACTCCAAAGGCTAATTTTGTTGTCCTCTTGCCAATTGGTGCTATTTGTACCACCATGTGACACCAAAGACAACTAAAACAAATGAAATGTCGTGTTTGTTAGCAGGAAACTGCCACATACTAGCTCGCCCAAAGTCGTGAAATGTAAGCTAACTGCTAGGCTAGTTAGCATGCATGGCTAACGCCGACAGTCCACTCCCGTGACCTGGGCGGGCAGGGCCGTCGGACCAGGGCTCACCTTCTTAATGTTAGTGTACGTGTAGAAATAAAGCTCCCTGCCGATGTTGAAGCACACCCGCTCTGACTCCTCGCCCGGGTCTTCGGGCTGGAGCTTGACCATGGAGACCCGCACCGGCGGCAGGAAACCCGCCGGGGAAGAATTAGCTGCGGCATTCGATGAGGAGGCGACGGCTGCGGCAGCTGCTGCAGCGGCGGCGGCGGCACCGGGCCCCTGCAACAGTCCGACACCTCCACCAGGTATCGGGCCGGCTCCAGCCGCGGGGCCCAGCGTTGCCCCGGCGGAGGGACCCCTTGGCAGCCCGCCCCGCTGCTGGGAGTCGGAGAGGGTGAGCAGCTTGTAGAAACCCTCTCTGGTCCGGAACTGCGACTTAATCTCATTAATATCCTTGAGAGCGCCGCCATCTCCGGCCATTTTTAGTCCAAACGAGCCGCTCGAGAAACTCTTGACCTGAAAACAATGACGCCGCGATAATTAAAAAAAAAGAAGGCAGTAGCAAGTGCTAAAGCTGAAACGGGAGCGGCGGAGGCGAGCAGCCGGGCTCAGCTAGGCCGACCAGCGCTGCCAGTGTGACCCGCTGCATTTTACACCAGTATCGGCCACCAGAGAGCCGCTGGCTTAAGACTCATGGCCGACGGAGAGCCCCTATGAGCCGGGGACGGCGTCATCCTAGAGCAGCTCGCTGCCTCCCTCAGCTCGACCGCTACGATTTAGGAGCAGAAATGCGCTCGTCCGCCCGCCCGCCTTTTGTGTGCGCGTGCGTGCGTGTCTGTGTGTGTGTGTGTGTGTGTGTGGGGGGGTCGGGGGGGGGGGGGTCACAAACAGATAAGAATGTTGGGAGGAACTCAGTGTACAATATTCAAATCTAAAACAAATACAATATTGTAAACTTGTTAATACACGCCAGGGAGTTTACAAATTCTTTAAGCATCAAATAAGAACTCTACAAAGAATTATATCAAATAGATCAATTTAAATTAAATTATTGTGTGTGTGTGTGTCCCGTACCTTTTATAAAGGTCCTCTAAACAATTATACATATTTATATTTTCGAGTTATTTCAGAAATCTACTTTTATTTCTTTATTTTTAAATGTTTTTATAATGTGTTGTAATTGCGTCAGTGTTTGTTCTAGTAATTTTTGTCATCAACTTTGTTTTCTCTGCCTTGCTTCAGAATGCCATTGACTGTAGTGTTTGGAAATGCTTGCAGTTATGTCTTTGCTTGTGTGAAGGACATTGAGTTGCCTTGTGTATATAAATAAAATTGCATTGACTGGACAAATTGTGTCTGGTTGCTTTCCTGACATCCACCAAGACATGGGCAAATGCAGAGAGGGGCATTTTGATTGTAGTCAGTTATCAACTAAGCTATCTAAAACAAATTGATACAATTTCAAATGCAATTTAATATAATTTTCTTGATAAAAAAATAAATATATATGTAAATACAGTTTCTGAGCTAAATGGGCCATCCAGCAAAAAAAGCCATCTGTTACAAATTGACAGATGTCGATTTATCAGTGATACTTATAGTCACCATCTGAGTCAAGTAGCCTCCACGTACGGGAAAAGGGACATGAGTGACTATACTCCTCAAAAAAACAAAACAAAAAGCATGACCAGTGAAGTCTTTATTATTTAATAGTGGCCAGAGAGACAGTCAGACAGATACAGGAAAGATGAATTAAACATAAACAGAATTTAGAATCCTATTCAAAAACACACATAGACTCTACACATTGTCCTTTGTGACACAATGTCGTTCCGGTTTCTCGGTTATCACCTGTAGTCTAGACCAGAATACTGTAACCTTTGTAAATTCAACCCATTTACCTGTAATTATATATCATATCATTTAAATGTTTTGACTACATTATATAGGAAAACAGTAATAAAATGCACACTAAAAATCGACCAATCAACAACCAAATAAGGAGGAATGGCAAATGGTGCAGAGCAATGGGAGTAAACCAGCAGGTTCTTCATTGTACCGGAGACCTTAAAGACCCAGCGTTTCTTTTTGCACGTTGCAGCCCAACAAAGTGTTTCCAGCCAGGACACACTCTGTGATACATGGTGCTTAAAAAAACACACACACAAAATAATCTGGGTGAGTAAAAGTATCATTTCATCAAAGCATTGCAATATTTTATTTTTTTTTAATCCATCTATCCATTTTCTAATCCGCTTTTTCCTCACGAGGGTCGCAGGTGTGCTGGAGCCTATCCCAGCTGTCTTCGGGCAGTAGGCGGGGTACCCTGAACTGGTTGCCAGACAAGCGTAGACAAAACAACAACCATTCACACTCACAATCACACCGTGGGACCATTCAAAGTGTTCATTTAACCTACTTTGCATGTTTTTGGAATGTGGGAGGAAATCGGAGTACCCAGAGAATACACAAACAGGCATGGGAAGAACAATCAAACTCCACACAGGAAGGCTGGGGCTCGGAATCGAACCCCGGTCCTCTGCACTAGGAGGCAGACGTTCTAACTAGTTGACCACAGTGCTGCTCGTAGACACGACTTTCATGTTTTTATCTTTTGTACTCAATATAACGATTAAGTTCCTGGTATGTGCAAATTTTTATTTCCAGATGTTTTATCGCAACAAAAACATGACTTGACATGCCATATTTGACCTCTTATTGACTCGAAATTTAAGCATTTAAATTGATATTGAGTCGAATTGTGACCAGAAGAATCACAATCAAACACACACACACAATCACAACCTAAGTAAATTGAATGGAAAAGTTCAGAACAATGCCCAGCCACACAAAATCACTCAACAAACAAAAAACCTCTGCGGTAATCATTAAGGGTAATTACCATTCTGAGCCAGCAGCCATGACACAGCCTTACGAGCAAGAAGCTTCCATTCGACTTCAGCATCCGACTTGAATCCATGAAGCCAAACAAGAGCCAGAATGGTAGCCCACACGTTCCCGTTCACCTGAGTTCGGCGGAACCAAGGAAAAACAGATTACACAAAGAAGTGAAAAAGGTATTACAGCACATTTAAAATAAAGTCCTACCTTTGCCGGCTTGGGCTGTTCCACCTCCTTTCTGGTCTTGTTCAGTGCAGCAGCCAGATCCGGGTTGAGCTCCCAGCAGCCCGACGCATTCTGGAGAGACACCAACTGCAGCAAAGTGTCTGGGGTTGTCTGGATGGCTGGATTGTGGGGAAAGGAAGTTCTTGTCAGATAGTCAACTGCAACTTTGTTGCCCTGCAAGTTTTGGGGGGCTTTCGAAGATAGGTTGCAATAAGTCATATCTATTTATGCTGTACAGTGAAACCTCTTCCTTCAAAAAAAATTAATAAAATTCCAGTGGGAAACAATCCACTGTCGGCATCAGAAGAAAAAAAAATCATTTTATTCCTACTTGACATCACTTCCACTGTACGTTGATTGTTCTTCCTATACTAAGAGCCTGTGCTGTAGTTCCACCTGCCTGCCCAGAAAGCTAAAGACAAAGAAAATGTGTGTGTGATTTTTTTGGTGAGTTGAGTGTAACAGTATTTTTGGTTGTGAGAGCCTTTTTGTATACAGTATATGTTGGGGGAGGGGGTCCTTGAGGTGTGATTTTTTTTTTGTTGTGTATGACTTTTTTGGAAGTGTCAGTGTTGGTACTGTATGTGTGTGTGCGTGTAGTTCTTTGGTGAGTGTGAGTTGCTATTTTTGCATGTGTGAGAGATAGAGTTATAATAGTTTGGGATTTTTATTATATATTTTTTTGGTTTTAATTTGTGTTTTTTTTTGTCGTTAAGCATATCATCTACAGTGTTTGCTTTTAAATGTGAAATCGAAATGAACTGATTTCGGAGCATCTTAGAATAAAATGAGAAACAATGCAGTAATTAAAAGATGTGATGGTGTTGTGTCGCGTGCGTTGGTTTGCTTGTTTTGTTCTTTACAGAGCTTTCCAAACCGTTTGGTCAAATGAAAATAAACTTGTGCTGTGTTTATAGAACTAAATGCAGCTTGGTGGTGTCTGTGTGCATGTTCAACTTACAAGAAGCAACAGGTATTTCCTTGGAAGAAAACGACTTTGCTTTCCTTGAATGAAACAGACTGCCTAGTGTACTAGACCGTATACTTCGTTGCTTCATTTTAAGATGACCTTCGATTCTTTTTCCTGTTTGGATAAAGAACAGGAGTGGGGGGGGGGGGGTACAACTTTCATTATTTCCTTCAAGAGGCACTTGCCAAAATATTTAAATATTCCAAAAATGAAATTCTGCTTTGTTTTACTTGCCGTTGGTTGGACGTCCACTGAGACAACACATGTCTTTGTGAAAAAAAATACAAACAAAAAAAAACAATCAAACAAACAAAAAAAAAAAAAAACAAAGAAAACCACATGAGCAAATGGTGAGGAATGCACTGTAAGACTATGATACAAATTTTCAATAAAATGGTACAGTATTCCAACGAAGTGTGTGAATACTGTGTAATTTGATATATTCTATTGAACCACAATCGGTGCAGCTGGTATCTAATGATATTCAATTTAATAGCTGTATCATATTTCCTATGGTTTGGTTGGTTGAACATCCCGATGGTCAAATTATTTTCAAATGTTTCTAGGGAGGTACCATCACTTTTGTCCAGGCCTGTTTTGTGAGGCTGTTTTTAAAAATAAGTATTTTTTTTTCCACACCCCAAAAGCACGATGTGATTTTCACTGGTTAACTTTCATTTCATTTTAATTTTTTTGGAATTATTGTAAAATAATCTCTCTGTCTCTCTCTCTCTCTCCTGCTCTCATCTTTGTTAGTCCTTCAAAATAAATTCTCCAGTTAAAGTTGAGAAAATTTGAACACAGAACTTCAGCTGCTAATTATGGTATGTTTGGTTTCTCTTTGGTTGTTGTTTTCTTTTTCCCTTGCTGTTTTAATACAGTGTGTATACATATGCACATTTTGATCTGCAACATTCAATAGATTATATTGTTGCCATTACTTGTGCTCGTTAATCCTTGTTGCCAGGTTTACCTGTACCATCAAAGGAAAACTAAGGGGAAAAAACAAATGGAGCCTTGTCCTCTGCTCACTTACAGTTAGGAAATCAAGAGGTATCTGATAGAAATTGAATTATTTATTCAAATGCCTGTCTGCGTGATGCTACTTGCCTTGCATTTGAAGAGAAGCACCTTGGTATGGGGCTAAAAAAATAAAAAAGAGGAAATGAACAAAGTAAAAAATGTCTGAGAAATAGTAATCCACAATTCCATTTTGGAAATGAGTGATTTTCCAATTGCATATAAAGTACCAGAAAAAAGTTTTGAAACACACTCAACCCCCCCTTCAATCCCAGTCTCCATGATGCTACTTACTATGTAGAGCGTAAGAAGCTACGACACCACCTTTGAGAGAAATAAAACAGGTATTAGTGAGCAACAAAACCACTTTATAATGATGTCATATAATAACCCATCCTTAGAAATGCAATCGGTAGCTGCTACACATTTAATTCTTTCCAAATTAGCCTATGGTTACAAGCCGGTGTGGTGTTGACATGCATGAGTCCCATGTATTCATTAACATGCACTGTCCTGACCAAAGAAATAAAATAAAAGTATAAATCCTTGTCTGTATGATATTACGTGCCTATATTGAAAACCCCATTGCGGGTACCTGAGAATTAATCCTTGTTGCCAGGCCTACCTGTACCATCAAAGGAAAACTAAGGAGAAAAACAAATGGAGCCATGCCCTCTGCTCGGTTACACTTAGGAAATCAATAGGTAGCTGAAATTGAATTATCCATTCCAATCCCTGCCTGCACGATGCTACTTGCCTTTATATAAATTAGGATGTATTGTATTGTATTGCTTTTGAAAAGAATAACCTTGGGATGGGGCTAAAAAAAGAGGAAATGAACAAAGGAAAAAAGTCTTAGAAATAGTAATCCACAGTTCCATTTTGGAAAGGAGTGATTTTCCAATTGCATATAAAATACAGTACCAGGAAAAAGTTTTGAAACACAATCAATCCCCCCCCCCCCCCCGCCCCTGCAATCCTAGTCTCCATGATGCTACTTACAAGATCTAGCGTAAGGTGACCAGGATTTACCTTTGAGAAAAATAAAACAGGAATATTACATGGGAATTAGTGAGCAACAATACCACTTTGTAATTATGTCATATCATAACCGAAATGCATTCAAATGATTCTGCGCAAATATGTCAATGCCACATCCCTTCCCTCTACACCAGGGATCACCAGCCTTTTTGAGAGTGAGAGCAACTTCATGTGTACTGATTGTGTGAAGGGCTACCAAATTGATACACGTCTGAAATAACATTTAATAATATTAGAATGTGTTATTTTTCATACTTAATGATTTTAATTTTCAGGCTCTGATCACCTTAAAGATGTCTCACAATACTGCCAGTGTTTGCATTTCTGCAAATCACAATCCTAGCACTGGTGGGCTATTGGTGTGGTCCTCGCGGGCTACCTGGTGCCCGCGGGCAACACGTTGGTGACCCCTGCTCTACACAGTGGCCAAAAGAATTATTGCCTTGGGTTGTCTCGGTGGGAATTTAACATTTGATGGTTTGATGCACTGAAAATGTGATAAATATGCAAAAAACACAGAAATCAGGAAGGGGGCAAATACTTTTTCACGGCACGGTATAGATTGATTTTTTCTTTTTTTTAAATTTTTTTTATTTAGCACTCACCGACTCCTGGTACACTTCTGTGCAGCAAAGGGCCCCGTATGGCTTCTGTGCTGTCTCTGTTGATGGCAATGAAGGCAGTGAAGGAGCTGCTCACTCCTGATTGGATGCTGACATCCACCACCTTTTTCGTCACTTCCTCATCCTTCTCTCCCTCGTTGGATTCCAGAGAGCGAATCAGAGTTCGAGCACCTAGCCTGTGGATTGTTAATCTGGAGAAGGCAAATAAGTACACATTACAAACTATCAGCACAATCAAACAAACAAACTCTATTCATATTTGATGGACAATTAATGTATCTTTCTTCTATCTATGCCAGCAGCGTATAAATAACCTGCATATCCACCTTTTACCACTTACACAACAGAATAAGTCATGGCATGCACACACTGAGTAATTAAATTTATAAATACGGTATTTTGTGATGAGATTATCACTTCAGTTTGTAAATACTGTATACTTCAAGAGACATTTTTGTCTTGAGTGCAGTGACACCTTTCAAAGGCAGGGGTGGCCAACCAGTCAGAGACGAAGAGCCAGTTTTTTTACTGTTACTGCAAAGAGCCACATCATACCCTACGTCGTAGACACACACACACACACACACACACACACACACACACACACACACACACACACACACACACACACACAAAAACACACACACAAACACGCGTGCTCGCACGCACGCACTCACGCGGGTGCCCACTAGTGCACTCGTGCACATACGTATGCACGCACACCACGATGAGCAACAGTCGGAACGGGCCAAAAATGAAGGAAAGCTAAAGATACAAGCAAACAAATAATTTTTTCCCCCCACCCATTTCCTCCTCCCAGCACTTGCGGTCGACTTGAGACCAGTTCGCTGGCTCCCGGTCGATTCTGATCGACGTATTGGGCACCCCTGCCTTAAAATCAGAGCTAATTCGCTGACTAGTTTAGCGTCGTCGTTTGCGCGTGAGCGGTGATGCAGCCATCTGATTGGTTGCCCTTTATGTCAATCAAGTACAGGGATTGATGATAGGCTGACGTAGTACGTTTTGTGTATTTAGCGCCTTCGTTTGAATGGCATCACCACTGCCGACACTTGTCGTGTGAAAGCCCGGGAGCCGCATTGAACCAGCCAAAGAGCCGCATGCGGCTCGCGAGCCGCAGGTTGGCTATCCCTGTTCTAAGGTAAAAAAATGTGGTTATTTCTGATGACCCAAACAACTCTTCACTCTCACACATAAGGACAATTTTGAGTCCTCACCGAACCTGACATGCATTTTTTGGGATTTTGGGAGGACGCTGGAGCTGACTCGAGGCTCAGAGCCAAAATCTCTCACCTTTGAAGCCAGAGTGCTGCAATAGTGTGTCCAATACATGAATAGAGCCTGCATTACCCAGTGTCCTCTGTGGGTTGGAGAGGGAAGCCAAGCTTGCTCTGGAATGGATGGCCTGCTAGGCTGTAGTTCACCATGACAGAACCATCTGTTTCCTCCGAACTCTGAGAAAGCATTGCGGTGTTAAAGACCAGAGGTGGTCATTCTGTCAGACTGATAGAAGGTCCGTCAGTCCATCACTATTTCAAGCCGTATTGTCAGCCAAACGGTATCGAGAATGTAATTTGCATTTGCACGTCAGACACGGGCGCCGCACAAGCCGACATGAAGAATAAATGCAAAATAAAAACAACAGAAACACTCACAAGCAGTGTGTGGTGATTCGTGAAATAAAAACAATTTGGGACCTACAGGTATGTCACTGAGGTCTGTGGGACTGAAAGGTATACAACATTGTTTTATTTCGTATTTTTATTGTATTTGGCTGCGTGTCAGGTGTGCGGCACCTGCGTGTGACATAGTACCGGGAAGTCTGTCCTCGTCGCTGTTTAGCTTTCGCCGATACTGGGCCGACCTGAAATACTGACTCATTGGACTGACGATGCCCAACTCTATTCAAGGCATGCTCAATTGTATATCATTGCTGTGATGTAATCAACTTAACTGCCAATGTCGCATGTCCAAAAGTCGTTTTGAGTCCATAAATGATGTGCAACTGCTCTTAAGAAGTAAAGAGTCACATCAACATCACTGTTTTGTTGGTTCTGCTGTTGTGATTGTGAGATGTTACCACATGAGTCATTTGGTGAACTATTTTTAAATTTTATTTAATTAATTAATTATATTATTATTATTATTATTATTATTTATTTATTTTAAGAATGGAAATCATGTACAAAAATTTTATTTATCATGTGTCAACATTTTTAAGACTTTCGAAAGCTTGATTTGACAAATGAATGCCAAATTTGACCTTGTTTTGACATTGATGGATTCAATGTCTTTTCATATTTTTTTAAGGAGCTGCAAGAACCCTGCTTTAGTGGATGTGGTTGGGAGTTCAGAGCTGTTGCCTACCTGTCCAGTGAGCTGAGCATAAATGAGCGACCGCTGACCCTGGAAAAGAGTCGTGAGAGGCGGAGAGAGATGTGTGACAGACACCCCCTTTGGTAAATCCCAGATGACCGAGATGTCCTCCACAACCGGTTGCAAAGCAAACTCCAGCGACTGCATCACCTGATGAAATTAAATCCATGATTTAATCAAGGCCTTCCATTATGTCCTTGAAACAGCCGTGGTGCGCTTTAGGATTTGCCAAAATCATTTGGTTCGCTGTCTTGTGAACCTTTGCTTGCATCCTGTCAGCGCCTGTGATGAATTGAGCGTGACCTCGGCCCTCCTTCGCCAAACCATAGATGAGAGCAGTGCTGGCCCCTTGTCCAATCCCAAAAGAGAAACACCTGCAAAACAGTTACTTGGGTTCAAACACATAGTGACGATTTATAACATTGACTCAACTCGATTCAACTGTATTCATAGAGCACTTTAAAAGAACCATCGCTGTATCTAAAGTGCAAAGATCATAATACAACAACAAAGAATAAAACAATACATTACATTAGAAAGCGCAAAAACAGTAAAACTATAAATCACGTCTGAGTCATGCTGAGTCAAAAGCCAAAGAATAGAAATGAGTTTTGAGACGAGTTGGGCAGAGAGAGGGCTTGCCGAATGTTCAGTGGGAGGTCATTTCTGTAGAGATGGACCAGCAACGGAAAAGGCTCGATCCCATCAGAGCCTCCGCTTAGTTCTTGGTACCCCTAATGTCTGGTCCGCAGACCTGAGGCACCGGGCATGTGTATAGGGGCGGAGGAGTTCAGAGAGGTAAGAGAGAGAGAGCAAGTGAGAGAGAGGTAAATATATATACTCCACGTGGTTTCACCTGTGGGAACTGGAATTCTTTTTCACAAGGGTTGTAACCTCCTTGGTGTTCCCCACTCCGCCGTCAGTTAAGACAAAGAGCTGGAGGGACAGTTGACGTTTGGTTTAAAAATGACACACCATCAATCCCGAGAAGTGTCACAGAACATGACTGGAGCAAAAGTCCTTTTCAAAGTGCACACAAAAGAGTAGGGCAAGCAGTGCCTGCCCAGCCTGTTATACCTAATTTGAATGCGTGTTTGTGTGTGTTGTTGTGTTATAAACTAAAATGTCTTTATGCGGCCCATTATGAGCAGTAGGTGTGACGGGCCATGCATTTGATCCCTGAGGAAAGACCAGACCTAATCTAACTCTGAACGCCAGAAAGCATCAATACTACACAATAAAGCAGTAAAACTATGGTGACCGTCCAAAACAGTTCGGAATCAACATTTATCGATCAAGAACAATGAAATAACATATTTCATACTCACCAGAGATGCCTGTTATCAAAAGTACTAATGTCTGCAGAGCTCTACAGACGCGTTTTGCTTGTCAAAGTTGGCTGTAATAAGTTTTGCTGTGACTAAGTAATTCAAAGGATGGAGAAATGCTGTCGTCAACAAGTGCTAGTTTGCCCATGGTGATCGGTTGAAGAAAAAAAAATCCCTTTGCCAAAAAATTTTAGGTTACATCAGCCAGCAATACTAATTCTGAAATCCCAGGACTGATCACAAATGGCACCAGAATAAATATCAAGCATCCACATCCATGTACAGTACAAGTTGCAACTTAAGGGAAATGCTACAAAATCAAGACTCTTAACAGATTGCTGGGAAAAAAAATGAATTCAATTTCGAATTTAGTTTGTAAATGTAGGTGAGTGCTTGTGAAAGAGATGATTGTGTGTAATACTTGTCGTGGTTGACTGGGAATGCAGGGCTGGCTGTAAATGTGATTGAGGGGCTGAAGTATCTCTGTTCCTCCCAGGTTTGCCTTCATCTCCTTGACAATCTTCAGAGCCTTTTTCATGGTCTTCTCACTGTACTCCATACTCTTACTGCCATCAAACACACACAAGTACAAGCACAAGCGCTGCGAGACCAAATAGAATGTTGTAGTTTATCGGACTGACAAAGAGTAGATTCTTACGGGAAGATGTGTTCAAAGGAGGAACCAAAACTGTAAATGTTGAAGTAGCAGCCCATGGGTAAGCTTTTCAGAAGCAGCAGCAGAGTATCCTGTGTGGAAGTGAATTATCAATAATGAAGGAAACTGTAGGGGAGAAGGAATGAATGAATGAAAACCACATTTCCACCCGGGGGGTCGGGGGGGGGGGGTACAGTTTGGTTTGCCACAGTTCTATTTGGAACGTTAAACTGTGAAGGTGTGTATGTGGATAGCATTGCCAATTCTCTTTGTAAAAAGGCCTGCAGAGCAATGTGTGCTTTTTCATTACCCTGGCACTGTTGATGCGATCTCCTGCCATACTTCCGGATCGGTCCAGTAAGAACACAAATTCTCCCTTTGTGGTGAATGAAGACATCACTGCCTGGGAAAACTCAGGGTAAACACTGAGCATCACCGCCGCATCCCCCATCAGCGTGCCTGAATCACAAAACGGATGAGAAAGGGGGATTTGGAGCATTGAGAAAGCATCCAAACAATTTGAATTAAAAGGACTTTAACACACCAGGCTTGGCAGATGCCTTTCCTGCCTCCACCACAACTGCTGGCTGGTGGGCATCTTTATAGTAAATCAACAGCTCAATATCTTTGTCAAACGTGTGTCCTGCAGCCAGTTTAACCTGAAATACCCCAAATAAACAAAACATGGATAAACAGCATGCCTCAAGTGTGAACGACAGCGGATCACATGAGTGTTCTACGTACGGCCGCATGAGTTTGCTCCTTGTCGAGGTACTGAAGGGGCTCCAGGGAAAAATTGGAGTCCACTTTGGAGACCCGACGCGGTGAGGACACCCGCGCAGAGAAGGACAGACTGTATGGCACTCGAGAGGCAGGAACAGACGTCACCTGGACACTATGACCTTCACTTCCTGGAAACATTAAATTGTCATAAGAAGACTGAATAGCGAATAATAGTAGCTCTCATGTCATATGACTCTAAGTTTATAAGCATCATCTCATCATGTCATCTCCATGTAAAAATGCAATACATATTATACTTGGTTTGAAACAAACATGGTAATTTTGTTCAGAGTATTTTTCTATTACCTCCTCCAAAATCATCTCAGATATGTCTGAGCTGCCAAAACAAGATCAATAATTAAAAATATATCTATCATCCTGTACAACTATCATACACACAATACTCATAGACTAGAGTTAGAAAAACTGGTCTTTTGGTTGAAATTTCAGGATAAACCGAAATGCACTTCAAACTTGACAGGTTAACATAATTCGACTTTCTCCAAACTTTTGAATGCGCATTCAATTTTTCAATGTTTCAATACCCTTTCAAAACTTTCTGCTCTCTGACAAAGATTCAAAATTAGGTGGTTTAATTTCCAAGGACGACCACTACTATGCCTTTCTGTGACTCTGTTTTGTTGAAAGCGGTGATGGGTTGTCCTACCCTGAGGTTGGTAGCGAGGGTTGAGCACCACAGGCAGACAAAACCTCAACCCGCCATCAGCCTCCACAGCCAGCTCAGTGACATACTCCAGCCGGATGGAGGCGCTCTCTCCCGGGGGAAGACTCCCCACACTCAGAGAGAAAATGTCTGGGGTCTGTTCACTCTCTTCTAGGAGGAAGGCCTGCTGGCCAGAGCTCAAGGCATCATCGTACTCCTCTCGAGCCTGCAGAGGAAATGTAATATTCACACAGTCTTTTTCTCCTCTCTCATCTTTGGAGACACACTCACTTCCTGTTTCTCCTTCACATCAGCGACAATCTCAGTTTGTCCAATCTTGGCACTAAAATGGCAGACGGCAGCATCACCAGACAGAGGGAAGACAAATACGGCCTCGATGGCTTTGTCCTCCTTGTTCTCATAGTGCAGCGTGGAAAGCACGTTGGCCACATGGTCCTTTACCTCCACTTCAACTTCAATGGCCTTCAGGGGAACTGACACACACGCAGACACAAAACGATCACGGGGTTTCAAATGTCAGTGATCATTTCATACTGGTGTTTGCTAAATGTACTTCCTTCCTCTGTTGACTTCCTGCTCAAACACATTTAAACATAAATAATGCTTTCAGGAAGGCCCCAAAAAAATTAATGCTACAAATACAAGAAGTGTGTCGTTTGGATGTGCCCCAACAAATTGTGCAAATTAGGAAACAAACTGTATCGACATGTTGTGGGTTTGTTGGATGAAGATCACACCTGTGGCATTGCATGTGTCTGTGTTGGAGTTTTGCTTTGCTTCGACCTCGATCGTTCTCAAAAATGTTCACAAGTTTGGAAATACAGTGATCCATCGCTACTTCGCGGTTCGTTTATCGCGGGTTTAGTGCATCGCGGATTTTTTCAAACATAAAAAAATAAAAAATAATTTTTTTTTTTTTTTTTTTAAATATACATGGAGTAGAGTACTGTATATGTTGCTCTATGTGACTCGCTGTTGTTTTGCAGCTTCTCGCGGACCGTTTGCGGACTTAAAAAAAAAAAAAAAAAAAATTACCTGTTTATGTTAATTGGACACTACTTCGGGGATTTTCGTTTATCGCGGGTGGTAAACGAGGGATTACTGTATAATATAGTCTGATGCCAAATGGGCATTGTTTACCATTAATTTTTTTTAAATCAAATGTCTGACTTTTTTCCAGAAAAAATAGATGGAGACTATACCTGTGCCTCTACCATTGCCACACCTTTATCAACTGGCACTTAAATATTTATGCACTCCATCTTCCTCTTCATCTGTTCCCTGTGAGCGAGTGTTTTCGAAGGCAGGGAAACTGGTGTCCAAGAGGAGAAATGGTCTTGGAAAGACACTTCAAAAACTTTGCGCCTCTTTGAAATGTATGAATGAATCCATTTGTTGTGTTTTTTTCATATGATTGAACACTTTGGAACACAAAATCCCATACATACTCTAAGTAAAATGTTTTAACTATAAATGTTATTACAGACAAATTTGCTATATTTTGCATGCAAACTCATTTGACTATTGACTGACCAACACAGTATCAATACAGTGTCAACACAGTTTGTCTAATGCGTCAATACACTCCTTGGGGTATCATCTACCCGTCACTAGTTAACACCCATTAGTTTTGAACTGCAATTTGAACTTGTACCTGGCTCCTTGTTGACGGTGAGCAGACCACAGCGGCACACCATGGTGACGAGTCAATAGGTAACTTCCTTATGTTGGTTTTGCTACACACAAAAAAGAAAAGACACAATTACAACTGCTTGATGTGACGTTATTGTATAGTCATATAATAAAAGACAAAGAGAGCCTGCCGGGGTACACCCTGAATTGGTCGCCATCCAATCGCAGGGCACACATAGACGAACAACCATCCGAGCTCACATTCACACTTAGGAACAATTAAGAATGGGAAGAAACCAGAGTACCGAAGAAAACCCATGCAGGTAGGAGGAGAACATGCAAACTCCACACAGGATGGCCGGAGCCATAATCAAACCCTAGACCTCTGCACTTTGAGGCCAGTGTGCTAACCAGTGGCCCAAAGTGACGCCCACTGTTGATCTTCAGTGACAAAGAGATGTAATGAAGGTTGAGATGCAGTTACCCGATTTGCTCAAGGAAAGCGTTCCACAGCAGGCAGTTGTACAGCAATTCCACTTGGACAAACTATATATGCGACCGTGCCGCCAATTATCAGATCATATTCAATTTAGAAAAAAAACGCAGAGGGAAAATCCCGCTATACATTACAAATTTCAGCAAATAACGACGAATTACCGATTCAAATGGAAACTGAGATTCTGGTCATAAAAAACACTCCTACCTTCCTTATGTGGCTCAGAAAATGTTTAGCTGTCCACAGGTAGTCAATCCGGAAGAGCAAAGAGGGAAAAACCCACGCCCACTCTGCGTAGCTCTTGCCATTCGTGTTAATACGCCCAGTTCGAGTTTCGGTTTCATTTTGGGCTACGTCACAAATGAGTTGATTAAAAGCAAACGTTTAGAGAGCCTATTCTAAAAATACTCTGCATTCTCACTCTTTACAACTAGAAACTGTGCCAAACAAATACATCTGTTTTCATTAACGCGGTTAAGAAAGGAATTATATGTATTATTGTGGTGGTAGTTTGCAGATGTGAACAAATGCACGCGCTTTTAACATTTATATGATCTCCTTGATATCCACTGCACTGGAGATGCCTGCCCAGTTTGTGGTGAACGATCCACTCACAAGGGAACTTTGGAATCACACACAACACCCAAGAGAGAAACTTTTGCCTGCTCAATTTGTGATGAAATCCAAGTATCCATGTTCAGAAAGTCTTCTTTTGAACATTCTGCAGGGCAGGGGCAGAGCTGCGTGGTAGCCAGAGGTGGCCATGGCGACCAGCACACATTCCAATCTTGGAGCCTCTCCCAGTTGTTTTCAGGCAGTAGGCGGGGTACACCCTGAACTGGTTGCCAACAAATCGCAGGGCACACACATAGACGAAAAACCATCTGCACTCACAACCACATCTACAGCGTTCCATTAACCTACCATGCGTGTTTTTGAAATGTAAGAAGAAACGGGAGTACCTGGAAAAAACCTATACACAGGCATGGGGAAAACATGCAAACACCACCAATGTCTTTAAAAAAAACAAAACAAAACAAAACATTATTTTAAAAATATTTTAAAGCACCCGCATCACCATTGTGTGTGTGTGTGTGTGTGTGTGTGTGTGTGTGTGTGTGTGCGTGTGTGTGTGTGTGTGTGTGTGTGTGTGTATGTGTGTGTGTGTATCATGGGGTGGGCGTGGGGGGGTCACACTCGGACATACAATCATGGGTGCAAGGCGGTCTCCAATGACCCATGTTACACTCACAGCCAAATACATCATCTGCAAGGAGAGATCTTACAGTTTACCCGTCAATGTCATGCATGGACCCAAGCAAGTCTTTTTCCGTTCCCCAACATCAAGCACGGCAGAGTGGGGAATATTACTGCATGCCCATAACTGCTGTGATTTTTCATGCTGCATCAATATTTTTTCTAATCACTATAGTAATGCAAGGGTATTGACATCATGCAAGATGTGCAAAACGTCTGCTAAGTGAATCATTACAACACCAGTGCCCACACAATTGAAACAAGTGAAAAAAAATGGACAAATGATTGTGGGATTTTTTTTTCCTGACACTGGATACAACGATGTGATGGTAATGGTGAGCAACGGCCATTAAAAGTGACGGCAAACAAGGAGACAGGAAGGTACTACTGTGTTGTTTGTAATTGTGATCAACCGTGGTGAGGAGAAAAAAAGGGGAGAGTAATAGAGGATCAGAGGGGGCAGTTAGGGAAGGTCTATGGATGGTAATATATGCGGCCCTATTGTGGGGAATCAATCCACCATGCGTTAATGGGGGAGTTGGGGGGGTTCAAGGAGGGGTACACAGGACCAAAGGCGGGCTATGGACTAAAAGTCCCAAGAAACACACTCATGACCACAGAGTGTCAACCGAATTCTCATGTGAGTCCTAAAACTTACCTTTTGGGACCATATCTACATTTTATTTGTACGTTCGAGGTGGGGAGCAGACATACAGATAAGTGTACATTTTGTACAAATGTTTGTCGTGGGAACTGTCGCTTTGTGGTGAAAGTCTGTGGCCACATGCATGTGCGTGTGTGGTGCGCACCGTGGGATTGTCTGCATCAAGAGTGAAGAGACTGTCAAGAAGAAAAACACCGAGCAGGGTAAGAAGTTTTTTCTTCATTTGCATTGATAATTTATGAACTTTAATGAAGTTGTTACAGCATTGGTGATGATCTAGATTTCGAAGTGAAATTGCTGTTCTTTTATGACACACACTGAATTGTTGCAAAGGAGAAACTGTTTTAATTGCATTAAGTTAGAATCTCCTCTGCTTCTGGAGTGCAAGGAGTGTCCACACTAATCAGCTGAAACATATTGGCAGCGTGGGGAGTGCTAAGGGTGCACTTTTTGGTGCTTGTGGTGGTGGGGGGTTAACCGTGCTTTGTTTCGGCCTGATCCCTGCGAAAGCACTAGCCACAAGAACAAAAGTATTGTATTGGAATAACGATGAAAAGAACAATGGGGGCTCGATGGGCGACTGGTTAGCCTCCCAGTGCAGAGGTCCAGAGTTCGATTCCAGCTCAAGCCTTCCTGTGTGAAGATTGCATGTTCTCCCCGTGCCTGTGTGGGTTTTCTCCGGGTACTCCAGTTTCCACCCACATTCCAAAAACATGCGGAACTCTCTAAAGTGTCCCTGGGTGTGACTGTGAGCTCGAATGGCTGTTTGTCTATGTGTGACTCTCGATGGCTGGCAACCATTTCAGGGTGTCTCCCATCTGCTGCCCAAAGACAGCTGAGATAGGCACCAGCACACCCCACAACCCTTGTAAGGATAAGAGGATTATAAAATGGATGGATGGAGAACAATTGGAGCCAGAGTACAGACCTCGATGAGAAAAGGGAAAGAGATGAAGAGAAGGTTGTCTTGTTTTAGGGGAGTTAGGAGTGGGTGACACAACACAGAACTGGATCAGCAATTTATTTTATTGCTATTGCATTGCACATGTATGGTTGGATGTTGCAACACAAGACTATTCAACATTCACATTCATATGCTAATGCATGTATATACATATTATATATAATATATAATATGTATATACACGCACCCATTTATTTGTCAGAAGTCTTTATTTGTGTGAATTTAATGATGATATAGCTCAACTGTAATGAGCATAATTATGTGACAGCTATGAATTATTTTTTTTTAAACATCCTTTGAATTAATGTTATTTCGTAACAATTATCAAATGGCAAATAACATGAATACAAACATGCTTTACTGAGCTATTTTTTAATCCACAATATTTGAGTTTTTAAAAATTATTAATTTATGATAAAGACTAAAACACCAAGAGCATAAACAGGTGTGCCGCTGCAGGTGGAGCCCTACAGTGCCACCTGTTAGTCACAAACAGAACCGCGACAGTGACGTGCAAAGTCGAAATGTCAACCTTAACTGAGCATCAATCAGACCTTCAAATAAATATCAAGATGCAGTATTTATAATTTTTTTAAAGGAAAAACAATTAGATACTTTGTTCATTTAATTATTTCCATATTCATGCTGTAAGCAAAAGGTGCATTATCTACAGCCCCAGCACAGAAAACGCTGCCCCTATCTAACAACAATTCAAATGAATCCAAACATGGTATGAAACCTTCTTGCAGGTGGGATGAGACCTTTCGTGTAAGCCATGATGTCAGAAGGAAGACAAAGAAGAATGCAAGACAATGAACGGAGCACGCACCGGTTTACGCTTGCTTACCTTCTCCTCCTGGCTTCACCGTGCACATGCTTCCTCCCCAACTTCTGGTCACGGGTATTGACGCTGTCCTGGGACTCGTACACACACCAGTACATCACTGAGCAGGCCATCCTCAATGTGACCCTGGACACTCTGCAACAGCACCAAGGTCACCATGATGAGAAAAAGGTGAAACGGAACATTCATTGTAATTCGGTGAGAAAAAAAATTAACGTTTTTGTATTTTTATATTTGGCCTCCTTTTCAGGACAGACTGGGACGAAGCTTCTGGAGGGCTGTGGGGGAGGTGGTTCACTCCAATGCTGAAATGGACTTCCTGAGCTCCACTAGGTCTGACCCCGTGTACCACTTTGATTCCGAGCGGGTTGAGAGCGCAGTGGCAATGCTGCGACAGTTCTGGGCTCATACTCTGCTGTCAGTGCGGGCCAATGAGTACCAAAGTGCTCGTCACAGCTTGGGACAACTATTTCACTCCCTGCAGGTACACAACAACAACAGCTAAAAATATATCGAAAGAAGATTCGACATGTTTATTATTATTATTTTTAATTTATTTATTCTTATTTTTTAACACAAGGACTTCTACAGTCACAGTAACTGGGTGGAGATGGGCCAGCGCTCCATTTACCTCCACTTGCTTCAGCCAAAGGAGCCAGCTATCCCTGTAGCTGAAGGTGATGCAGACTTATACAGTATCTACATTATCTTTACAATGTTTCTCTTGTTTGGTCTTTCTGTAATGCATTCATGTGCAGGTTGACGAAAAGTCTTGCCAGAACTATCGAATAAGAATCATGATTTGTCAGCAGAAAGGCAGTTAGAGGGGATGGAGAGAGATAAATAGACACAAAAAGATCTTAAAGACTAGAGGAAATGTAGACACAAGGCATTACGAGACATCTTAAGGTAATTGATGTGAGGTAGTTTGAGAAGCGCTGCGATAGATAGTCCTTGGATATTGTACACCTTTTTCCCTCCAGGCCAAACTCAGTCGCTGTTGAGTCATTATTTTAAGTTGAGTCTCAATGCTCAGACTGTACATAATGTTGCAGTGGGTTAAAATAATATAAAATGGGGTTTTTAGGAATAAAACCTCAGTCTCATTTTTGATGAAGACTTAGGCCTACGGTGCTCTTACAGTACATTTCAATGTCGGTCATTTATGTTGGGACTTGGAGAGCTAAATACTGGGACTTCTTTAGGAGGTAATTGATGTGAGGTAGTTTGAGGTGCGCTGCGATAGACAGTCCTTGGATATTGTACACCTTTTTCCCTCCAGGCCAAACTCAGTCGCTGTTGAGTGAGCAAGGCTCTCTGGCCTCTCTCGAGGTCTTCAAAGGTCTGTACCGTGTTCGTCTTCTGCCTCCTATTCAGCCGGGCCAGTGGTACCTGCATGCTCAGGCTGACGGACATGTCGCATTCAACATAATAGGTACTGAATTGAATGAGAATAATGTGAACGCCTGTTCAAATGTGGCAAGCATGACTGGTTTCGTATCCCCTCAGCTGAGAGCAGTGTGGATTTCCTATATTATTTTGCCACTGTAACGAACGAGACTCACCCTGGATTGGCCAGAGTA